GTGTGTGTGTGTGTGTGTGTGTGTGTGTGTGTGTGTGTGTGTGTGTGTGTGTGTGTTACCTTCGCAGCTATAGAGGAGCTGGGCTTCTCTAACAGATCCCAGAGTTTCTGTCTCTTTTCGGGGCAGCAGCCCTGCTCCTCCTCTTCTCCATCCTTGTCTCTCAAAGTCTCCGCCTCCCTCCTCAGCTCATCGTTCATCTGCTCCTTCTTCTGGTGGTAGCGGGCCTGACAACAGGACTCCAGGTAGATCTCGTCAATGCCCCAGTAGTCCAGCTCCTGGCCGAAGGACAGGGCGCACATCTCCTCCATCATGTGCAGCTTCCCTGTTCTGTAGAAGTTGAGGATGGAGGAGAAGGCCACGGGGTGTCGGTCGAAGAAATACTCGTTGTCGGTCAGACTGTAGTCGTCGCAGATCTCCAGCAGGGACTCATGGGTGTTACAGTCTCGCAGCCGTCCCAGACGGGTTCGGGGCAGCCGGTCAAGTGTCCTCCAAAGCACTTCATGAGTGAGCCCCCCCACGTTGAGCCGGACCCTCCGGGAGCGGGCTTTGGTACGGATGATGTTGATGGGCTCGGGGGGGAGCATGGGGGGCACGACGGGCCGAGGGGTGGCTTTGGAGGTGCTGACGCTCACCCTGTCAGTCATGATGAGTCTGCCTCCCTGCTGCCGGACTCTGACCCTGTCTGACCCCTAACGGTGGTCCCAGTGGGCCGTGGGCCTGGTTCAGATCTGTGCTCAGCTCTCCTGGTTCTGATCAGGCTGGTGTGGTCCTGCTGAGGTCCATAACTGGAAAACAAAGCATGACACAGCTGAAGCAGAACGCCCTCCATCAGCTGAGCAACAACAGCAGGAATGAAACAAACTGATGGTGCTCAGATTTTCATTTTTTTGAAATAAAACCTTCATGTTAAAACCAGTTCATGAGATGTGTTGTTGAAGACTTAAAGGGATCTACGATTAGTTGTAACATTAGACTTTATTTAATAAACACATTTTAACTGCAAAATAATGACTGTAAAAATACTGTAGGATGTTTAGTTTTTATAATTTTTAAACTAAAAGTTTTAAAAAATTTTACACGGACGGGGCCATTTTATTTACACACAGCATTCTGGGTAAATGATGATGTGGATAGGTCATCGGTGCGAGGTTGCTAGCAAGCCACATCCACCCTGAAGGTTAATCTTGGTCAATATCTGATAATCGACTCTTTTAAATGAAACCAGAGAGC